TAACAAATACAGCATTTGACTTCTGTACTTGGAAGATGATTTCTGCTCTGAGAAACCAGCAATGCTCATCAGTTCTTCCTAATAATCTTGTGGAATCTGTGCCTTAGGGTCACAAATCAGGCTTCTACATCGATAGCATCTTTGTTTCTTAATCAGCTGGGACCACAGTCTCATATGCTGTGGTAGTGCAGGGCTGGTATTGGCCTTTTGTAGTGCTGGTATCTAGAGAAACTAGAGGTGTAGCTTTAGTGCTCCTAATGAGGCTTAAATAGAGGCTTTCAGTGGTAACCTTTCCTACAGCAGACCAGGACTAGGCTTGGTCTAATTGCCTGCACATTTGTGTGGAGGAGTCATGCATGAGGCTGGTACACAGCTTCTGCTGCTCTTAAATCTGCTGTCAGCTGCAACTGCATGCTCCAGGAATGCAGAGGTGTCAGAGCTGTGTGATGCACTTGATAATCATCCCTGCCACCAACAGAACTTGGTTGCCACGGCTCCTCTTGACTTCCTTGTCCTGCTGGAACGCTCGGGAAAGCTTCTGGATGTGGAGCTTACTCTCCCCAGTGGGCTCTGTGGGGGCCTGTGGTTTGTAAAGGTGTCTGTTTACTGCTGTATTCTGGGATCTTGATGCATCTCTTGGAGTTCTGTGGGCCAATAGCAAGTTCCAGTAGGCAGTTTTATTGGGTTTAGTTGTTCTCCATGTTGCACTGGAGGGATCTGCACACAGCCTGCTCTGTGAATCCTGTCCTGAGCAGTGACTGAGCTGGTTGTGGCAGAAGTGCAGCCATGGAGCTTACATATTGAACTTGCATCTACCTGCAGTTTGATCCGAGGTTTGGCAGAGTGAGGAGGATAGAAAAGCCTGCTGGGAAGATGAGGTGAATCCTACAGCAGCGACCTGTGAAGTTTGTCGATAAGCTGCATGATTCTCTGCACATTGGAGCTGCCTCGAGGCAGGCTGCCCTTGAATTTTGGAGCATTCTATGGTGTGAAGGGAAGTCTTGCAAGTAGGCTTAGACCAGGGATGTGCACTGTTAGGCCTCAGCTGGTGTCAGCACACTGCTGAGCATCCTTAGCTGATAGCAAGTGTTAAGTGATCAGACTGCTTGAGAGTGCCTTATCAGCAGCTGGGGGGAGCTGAGCCCACTGCTTCTTTAGAGGCACTTTGTTAACAGTCTCCTCCTTGATTAGTTCTGTTCTCCTGATTCCTTACTTAAAGGCTCTGCTAGTTCATAGAAGGGAGGAGTCCTCTGAAGGACAAGCTGTTGTCGTTGTCTGTGGGAGATGGATGGAGTTCACAGTTGAAGTGTTGGAGTTAAGCAGGCTGTGCACTCAGGGAAGTAAAACAAAGCTGGAGGAAAACCAATTTTTGAATGAAAGGAGGCTTTAACAGTCTGCTTTGATTTGCTTGATGTTTTGCTACAGGCTGGACTGTTAAGAGTGAATAGATGAGAAATAACTCAGTGCTTGAACCATCTGAGTCAGTGGGAAGTTAAATTTGATCTGTTCTACTATTGCTGACAAATCCAAACCTAGATTCTGGAGCACACACACCCCCACACCATTAATGTCTCTCTCAGTGAGAGACTTGAGAAATGCAGTCAAACTGGTGCTCCACCAGCACTGCAGCAGCCCTGCCTGTTACCAAGCAGGACGAACAGACGTGGCATAGAGCAGTGCCACTGCATGCTTGTGTGGTTCAGCCTAATCTGCAGTAGTTCATCTGCTGTAGGAAGCACCACTCCAAAATGCTGAGAAGTGCTCTCAGCCTCTTGCTTCAAGCTGTGCTGCCACATTCCGCCCAGTACTGTGCTCACAAGACTTGCTGTTCTGAACTTCTTTACTGCTGTACTCTGTACCTGTTCTGCTGGTACTGGCACTTGACAGTGAACATCAGGGCTCTGCTGTGAGATTCACTCCAGTAATACTCATTGCCCTGCAAAGCTGGTCTGCTCCTTTCTGCAGCGCTGGCTTATTTAATTACTGTGTGAAAGAGCTCATAGAGATAACTGACTCCTAAAAATCTGCCAATTATTTGCTCTCTCCTCTTCCATTTGGGTTTTTACACTTTATGCCAGGGTGTATTTCTTTCTTTCCAGAGGCTGTAATGGTGGTCTGTAGGCTGCCGTTTTGGTTGGTCTCAAACCTGTGTGCTCAACACAGAGCTGCTGAATTTATTTTGGACAGCTGGCTGCTTTCAGCAGCCTATCAAAATTAAACCACTTGAAATAAATTTCAGTTAAAACTGCTTTGCTTGCTGAAGCTGTACAGATAAAACTGAAAGATCTGAAGTTATAAGTCAGAGCAAGTAGTGGAGAATAGTTCTGATTAATGATTTAAAAAAAAACCACAACTGAATGTCAGTGCAGCTTGAAATTGCGTTGAGTCCAGTTTCTAGAACGCTGGAGAGATACTACAATAGAAGTGATCTGCTGCAAAACAAGATCTGGAGATTGTTTTTGAAGTTATTAGCATGCCAGAAGTCATTGCTGAAAGCGCAGCTGGTGGTGGGGTTCCAGTGAAGCACAGCCTCTTCCAGCCTGGAGAACGTGGCAGTGCTCTGCCATGGGCAGGGCAGCATCACCAGGGATGGAGCAGCACTCTGCCCTGCTGCCTGTGCTGGAAGGGGCTGCTGGCAGGTGTGCAGGGTGCTGTCAGTGGCTGGGGAAAGGGAGCAGGTGGGGCTGAACAGAGCCTTGCAGGTGGGTGCTGGTGCTTTGGGGCGAGCCGTCCTGTGCGAAGTCAGCCATGGTCACTAAGGACTGTGGTAAAATAAATCCGGCTGGGATCACAGAAATGGAACGTTCCCGTCTGGAAAAGGCTCACGAGGATCGCTGATCCGACCCCTGCACTGTGCAGTACCATCCAGATTTCAAACCCTCTGACTGAGAGCTGTGCCCCAGTGCTCCTTGACCTCCAGCAGTTTGGGGCCATGGCCCTTCAGTGCCTGATCAGTGCTCCTTGGCTCGATTTCTTCCTTCTGTGTAAAGGAAGGAATGGATGTTAGCTTTTCTTACTCATCCTGTCGCCTGAGGAGACCTCGGTGTCTGTCTGTGGAGGCTGGAAATACGAAGACAAAGGCCACAGGAAGGGAGCTGCAGAAACCTGCCGTGTTCAGGCTGTGCTGCTGGCTGCAGGTGTGTCTGAGGTGGCAGAGAAACCAAAGCTGGAACTGGTGGAAAGAGCTAAAGGTGATGAGCTGCTGTGTCTGTTAGAGCCTTGCCAGCCCTGTCTTTCAGCCTTGGTAAGGGACAGCAGTTCAGGTCCAGTGGTTCCGATGTGCCTCTAGCACACAGGTAAAATCATTAAGCTCTGAAGCCGTGTTCAGACAGGTCTGAATGGTTCAAGGGGTGATTGATTGTGCAGAATGCTCTCTAATTACGAGTGAGCAGTAGAAAGCCAGGAGTACAGAGTGAAATTGGCAATAGTGGATTTAAAACTTAAATCCCAGTTGTTCCTTAAACTGTAGGTTTGCGGAACTGAACTGGTGCACGAGGTGGCTGGCAGTGAAGTCCTTGAGACCAGAAAGAACGTAAAATTAAAAGCTGTTTGTAGGTGCACTTCTGATGGTAAGCCTTTGTGCTGTTTAACATTTACGAAGTGTAAAAGATGTTCTCCTTTCCAAAGGTTGCTTTCTGTAGACACTTCACTGGGATGCGTAGCGCAGATGTCACAGGGGTGGGTGGGGTGATTTCCACGTTGCTGAGCTCCTACGGATGAGGCTGACAGCAGTGGGGCAGAGCTGCTCTTGCAGTCTCAGTTCTGAGAACCACGTGTGCTGAAGAATGAGCTCTGTGGTTGGAGATGGGCAGCTCTTCTGAGGCAGTGGTGCTGTTCTGATCCAAAGAGGAAGAGGATGCTGGGGGAGGAGATTGGTCTTCATTTGAGAGCAGGAAGTATGTTCACTTAGATCAGGAACAGAGCTTACTAGTGAACGTGTTCTGGAAGCTTTTGACTTGAAATGCCTACCATGCATGGATGAGTCTACAGAAACGTGCAGGAAAACTGACCTGGGTTCTTGTGTTCATCACTGAGCATCTCCTGAAGCTTTCACTTCTGTCCTATTTAAAATCTTCTGGCCTGTTCTCCTCCTCTTCAGCTGTACCTCGGCAGCCTTTATTTTGTGATCTTTCTTATAAGCTCACTTCTTTTTTAAAGTGAATTGTGGAATGCATGCTGCTCTCTTCCTATTTGTAGCTGATGTGTTTCAGTGTACCAGCTCTGCCTCCTGTGCTCCAGGTCAGAGTAGCAACTGATGGAAGCTGTGGCAGATCAGTGCCTTCAAACTCATGGTTGCTGCCATCTCCAACGTGCTTGGGAGAGGCCTCGTGACGCCTCTGTCAGTGCTGTTGATGGAGGGGACACAAGGAGTGGCACTGTTTGTACTGCATTCAGCCAGTTCTGATCACAGGAGCGTTTGGCAGCCCTTAGAGGGCACGAGGCCCTGGACATGCTTCATGCAGTGCCCCAAAGTGCCTTGCTTATAACTTACACCTCTTCATCTCTCCTGCTTTGCTGTGAGCGTAGGAATGCACACATCTGTCTGTAGTCTTCTGGCTCCTTATAGGGACGAAGGTTGATGCTGTGCTAGGCAGCATCACGCAGGTGGGACATGGGATATATACAGTACCTGTTTGTACTGCTGCTTTGTGTCAGCTGTGAATGAAGAAGCTGAATTTCAGGTCTAATAGCAGGTATGCTTCTAAGAAGGTTTTCAAGCAGCACACTTCTCCCTTAGGATTTGAAGGTTCTAGTGGGATATTCCTGTCCAGAGGATTCCCAGTGGTGGAGCTGAGATGGGAGAAACTTGTAGTCACACACAGTTGATCAGTTAAGAGCTTGTGTTCAAAATGGCTTGGCTGAAGGAGGTGGGATTGCTGCACGTGGTTTTAAGAGCTGCTGCTAATACTTCTGCCTGGGGGAAGCAGGCAGGCTGCCTGACTTCTGCAGGTGCCTTCAGCTGTGTTTAAACTAATGCAGTGTTTTTTCTCTCTCCCTAGTACTTTTGTCCATCTGTTCTCTGTTGTGTGATCCCAATCCAGATGATCCTTTAGTGCCTGAGATTGCACGGATCTACAAAACAGATAGAGAAAAGTGAGTATGGAAGCCAAAGGTGGAACGTAAACAGAGTTGATGCTTTAATAGTAAAAGGGAACTGGAAAAAAAACAACCACACTTCGTGGGGAGAAGTGTGAACTTTGATTTGTTCCTTCCTAACACTGTGGATGTGGTGGGTTTGGGTTTTCATGGGTGGTGTAATACAGCTATTTTGACACTTTTCACTGCTGTAGGAAAAAGACACCTTTTCTGGTAGAAGTAAAGCAAGCAGAGATGTTCTTCTTCTTTGAGTTTCTTACTGCATTTTCATTCTACACAATAGTTTTTCAGTAGTGTGGTAGCTGTTAATTGCAGGTTTGCTTAATGTAAAGTGATCAGTGCAAATCTGTTGCATATGATGCTAAGTTCAGGCTTCTAAAATCTCACCAGTTTCACTGTGTGCTTTAATCCTACATAGCCAGCAGAGGGAGAACAAGTTGCTTTGGTGGGAGGATGTTTCCATGCTAGCTGTTGGTGATGGAGTCAGGCAAGCAAAGAAACAACAAAATACTATTTTCATCTTAATTTGACAAGCCAAGGAAAGAACAAGTGGTGTAGAGAGAGGGGGAGAGGACACAAGCTGCCTCTGAGGTGAACTGCAAACTGAAGAGAAGTCTGCTACTGAGAAGGTTTCGATTGTTTTGTTTAAAAGCACCAGTTTAAACATAAAGCATAGAATGGTTTGGGTTGGAAGGGACCTTGAAGCCCATCCAGTTCCAACCCCCTTGCTTTGGGCTGATTGTCCCCCCCATCTGTGGCCTTGGGCCTCTCCAGCATAGGGCACCACAGCTTTTCCAGGCAGCCGATGCCACAACCGCCATCCGAATAAAGATTTTCTTCTCGCTGTGTAACCAAAGTCTCCCCTTCTTAGTTGCAAACTGTTCCCCCTTATCCTTCTGTCAGATGACGTAAGAAGTCTGTCTCCTCCTTATAAATAATCTCTCTTCAGGTACTTGGAAGGTCTCCCCAGAGCCTTTTCTTCTCTACACTGGAGAAGCCTCGGGCTTTCCTTGTCAGGAAGGTACTGCTGCATTCTGAATGTTGTCTTGGCCTCCTCTGCTCCACCAGCCTCAGCTGTCCTGTGCTGGAGGCCCGGATGCAGTACCCCAGGTGGGGCCTCACGAGGGCAGAGCAGAGGGGGGCAGTCCCCTTCCTCACCACCCTGCCCGCGTCCCTCTGTTGGTGCAGCTCAGGGTCCTGTTGTCCTTCTAGGCTTTGAGCACCAGAACCGCAGAGTCTTTGTCTTCAGGGCTGCTCTCAGTGAGGCCTTCTACCAGTCTGTGTGCATATCAGGGATTGCCCTGACCCAGGTGAAGCACCTTGCTCTTGGCCTTGTTGAGCCTTGTTTGATTCACGTGTGCCCGCTTCTCAGCCTGTCCAGGTCCCTCTGGAAGGCACCTCTTCCTTCTGTTGTGTCAGCTGCACTGCCCATCTTGGTCAAACTTGCTGAGGGTGCACTTGATTCTGCTATCTGTCATTCATAAAGACATTGAAGAGCACCAAGATGGACCCCTGGGCTTGTGAGCAGCCTCCCCCTTGTATGGAGCTATTGACTGCAACCCTCTGGCTGACCAACCATTTCCTGACCCGCTGATCAGCCCACCCTTCAAATGAATTTCTTTTCAGTTTAGATGTGGTGTGAGGCCACGGCGAAGGCCTTGCAGCAGCCCAGGTGCATGACAGCAGTTTACCTTCCTTTCTTCACCAGTGCCATGGCTCTATCATGGAGGCCACCAGCTGGGTCAGGCACTCTGCCCTGGGTGAAGCCATGCTGGCTGTCTCTGTTCATCTCCTCATCTCTCGTGCTTTCCAAGAAGATCTCTTCCATCTTTCCAGGCACGGATGCTGAGGATCACAGGTGGTTTCCTGGGTCTTCCTTTCTTGAAGGTTAGGAGCAATGCTTCCCTTTCTGCAGTCTCTGGGATCCTCACCTGACAGCCAGGACCGCTCAAATGCGATGGAGAGCAGCTGGGCAGCCACATCAGCTGCTTCTCTCAGGACCCTGGGATGCACATGGTGTGCTCCCACAGGCATTCAGCTTCGTGAGGTGCTCTCAGGCTTGCTGTGCTCCCAGCAGTGGGAAGGGTTCTGCTCCGCCAACCCCTGCCTGGAGCTCAGGGATGTGGGAAGCCTGACTGCAGCAGAGGGCAAGGCAGGGGAACTCGCTGAGTGGTGCTGCCTCGTCTGCAGTTGCAGTTGTGATCATGAGGCTTTTTTACCCCCTTGTTCTCATCCAGCTCTGATCGCTGGTATTAATTCCTGAAGTTACAGAGTTGTGTCATGAGAGCAAGGAAGGAAGGTGATTCTCAAACTTCGGTGTTTGAGAAATAGGGAACTCTGTGCGTCTTGCTTTTAGTCAGAGCTGCGAGGTTTGCAGGGTGTGTGTCGAGTCTCAGCTAAGCATACAATTGCTCTTTCCTATTCACTTTATGTAGGAGTTTTTTCCCCTTCCTCCAGAGTCAGCAACTTCTGTGCTCACACGTATCTGGACTTGGTTTTCAGTAGCCTCAAAGCAAGTGACAGTTGCTTTGCTGTGGTTTCTTGATTTTCTTAAGCTGAAGAACTTTGTCTACAGACTAAATTGCAACACAGAAACTTGGTTGGTGTAAATAACTAGGAAACTTCCTGCCTTGTGATGCTTTTTCTGCAAACTCTGTAGAACAACTCGAATTCTGTAGTCAGAAACACCACCTTTATCAGTGCTGTCAGTCACAGCCGCCGCTTTGTTTCCCGTGCTCATCCTGAGCTCCCTCTGGATGTGATTCTGGCTGTTAAGGGGAGCAGAAGCTCCAGGTGGCTGGGAGAAAGGAGCAGAGCGTGCCTTCAGAGTAAGAGCTTGTCGTGGGCAAGGCTGTGTGTGCCGGTAGCCGCGGACACGAGGCTGGATGCAGCGGGAGCCTGGGAGGGCTTGGCACCACTGGGCTGAACCTGGGGGGGTGCAGAGGGCTGGGAGGGAGGCACTGATCTGCGGCTCTCCAGAATGGCCAGATTAAAGCCCTGCAGCTGGGAGAGGAGCAGGCGAAACCTTGCTGGAAACGCTCCTTGCTGCTGCTCTGTTTGCGGCTCTCCGCTCCAGCAGGGCGCGTCTGCTCTGCTCACGGAGTGCAGGGGGCTCGGCCTGCTCCCCTGCTGGCACCGTGCTGCCCTTTGCTCTTTTGCTCGTGCAAAACGGCCGTGCTGCTGCAGGGTCTCGAGTTCGTGTGGCGTTACTGAGCTGGGATGCTGTGCTAAGTGAATGCTCTTTTTGTACATGCAGGTACAACAGAATAGCTCGGGAATGGACTCAGAAGTATGCGATGTAATTAAAGAAATTATTGGATAACCTCTACAAATAAAGATAGGGGAACTCTGAAAGAGAAAGTCCTTTTGATTTCCATTTGACTGCTTTCTATGAGCCCACGCCTCATCTTCCCCTGTGCACATGTTTACCTGATACAGCAGTGCTGCGTGTTGTACATACTTGGAACAACAAAATAGAAATACTGTATTTCCCCGTACCAACATTGACTCCTAGCAGAGAAGTGTGTGTGTGAAAAGCTGGTTCTTCAGTCATAACTTTGTGAGCCTAAAAGCATTCCTTGTCCGTTTAAATTGGGTAAGAAAAGGTGGATGGGAGAGTTGGGGTGGAGGTGGCGTTTGTGGGGGCAGAGCTGTCGGCCCGTGAAGGATGGGAAGCGGAATCCTTTTACACTCATAACAGTTATGAAAGGCGAGGCGAAGAACTCGAAGCCGTTTCGCTCTGAAGGACCTCCTCCTTAGTGAATGTGCCGAGCGATGCAGTGCCCGCAGCCCTGCTGAGGGGCTGAGCCTCGCTGCACGACGGACCGGAGCTATTAGTGCATCAAGTGATGTTGATTCGTTTCAACTCTCTCCCCTCCTCCATGCTCTCTTTGGTTTGTACGTGGTTTCTCAGTTAATACATAGCTAATAGCTCTTATTTTTCTTAAGTTTTTTAACCGCTTAGGTCTTTCTGGATGTAAGGGTAAAAATCCATTCGACGGAAAACTTGTGTATATTTAAAATCCCAGCTGCTCCCCTGGAGCTTGTACGTTCGAGAATGATTAATCTGTGTAATAAACTGATTACTACAGTCATTACGTATAACTCTGTGTGAATAGGCTTTTAATTATTAAGAGCAGTTTGTTACAGGCTGAAGCTAACGACGGATCTCTAGAAGCCCCGCGTTCACCCGGGGCGGCGTTTGGAGGTGGTGCAGCAGTTTGGTGTGCAGCACAGCAGGCTGTGCCCCGCCGGGAGCTGCAGCCCTGGCAGCAGGGCAGGACGTGAGCTGTGCCAGGAGCCCGACTGTTACAGCCAAAAAGCAGCTTACTGAAAGGATCGGTGACACTGCAGAGCCTGGCCGTTTTACTCCCACTTGCATGGGACCTAACACGACGCATATGTACTGTAGGTAAACAGAACCTTATGTAATTAAAATAATGGATGTAAAAGGGTATTAAAAAAGAAAAACAACAAACTACCAAACACATCAGCACAAACTTTCATAAAATGTAGCTTTTACATAATTACTTTGCACTAAACATTTGCAAATGTTCATACACTTTTAAATTGTACTTGTATGTGTCTTTTTTGAACAAAGTCTTCACTTGAATCTAGTGAAAAATGTAGTTTGGAACTTTTCTTTGTATACAAGTGTATTTGCCAGCATCATTCGTGTGAATAGGTGAGTCTGCAAGTTTCTCCTCTTAGTATAATTGTAAACGAAGCCATCGACTATCCAGGAGAGGCTGCGGCCTCCAGCTCTGCCGCCACAGGAGCGCGTCCCAGCCGTTCTCGAGCGCATCTTTACACTCTCGCACAAACGAGGAATAAATGTCCACTGCCTTTGGTCTAAGCCTCTGCTGCTCGTCTCGTCTCTCGGTGTCCTCGTGCGCGCTCCCGCAGCCGGCGCCGCGAGCCGTGCGCCTCGGAGCCCCGCGGGCGGCGCCGAGCTTCGTGCGCGCCTCCTGCTGCGCCGAGAGCCGCCGAAGGGCGGCCGGAGCTGCGGGCGAGGGGAGCGATGGCAGCGGCGGCGGGCGGCTGTGAGCCGCGCCCGGGCGAAGCGCTGAGCCGCGGGGCCTCCGCTCCGCCCGGAAAGCGGCTGGTGCCCGCGGCTGCGGCGCAGCGCCCTAAGAGCCTGCCGGCACGGGGCGTCGGCTGTCGTCTCGTCCCTTTCCTGAGCCTGGCCTTACCTGGGGCTGATGCTCCTGCGGCCCCGTGAGGAGCGAGCAGGGGGCACGAGGCGGCTGCCCCGGGGCCGTCGCTGCTCTCCTAGCGGGATCGGCAGCGTCCCGCTCTCCTACGGGGCCGGGGCCATCCCAGTTCCCCTCGCGGGGCTGCCGTGTGCTGCTTAGAGACAGCAGGGAGAGCGGGCTGGAGATGGGAGCCTCGCAGCAGCTAGGGCGTAGGATTCCCCTCAGCTGTTAAGCTGAAGCTCCGGCTTCTCTAAGGAGGGCTCTGTTTTCTGACCTAGCAGCTGCTGGAGGAGTTCTGGAGGTGTCAGAGCTGTGAGGGCAGGCAGTGCAGTGCTGGCAGGACAGGAGTGCAGCTGGCAGCAGAGCGGCTGCATGGCAGTGTGGCAGTTATGGCCCGAAGAACTTCAGCTGGGCTACGTCCCACTGAGCATGGCTGTGCCCTTGGAAATGAAACACTTTGGAGTCCCTCGCCGAGGGCAAGGCGAGCACCGTGCTTCAGGAGCAGCAAGAGATGTTTCTGATGGCTGCCGTCCTGTGTGGGTCTGCCCAGCAGAGCCTTCCTCAGGGCAGGAGCTGCTCCGAGCCTGGCTGTGCTCTGATGTGCTCCAATAGCCAGGAAGCCGTGGCCCGGCTGGGTGAGTTCCTGGGAGCCGTAAGTTTGTGCTGTGATGAACTTCTTCACTCTGTCCGTTCTCAACTTGACGTCGTATTTTCACCGCTTCGCTCCGCATGGCTCACTGCGCACCGACGCTTCCACGGGGGGCTCACGCTGCTCCAGCAATGCTTTCTTGTCATCAGAATGTTGGATAGTTTGGGTGCCTGCAGCCGTGGCAGCGCTGTGCTGTGCCCGTCAGCGCTCAGTGCTGCCGCAGCGGCACCTTGCAGCACCTTCCAGAGCGCCGCTGCTTGGCTGTGCGGGGACCGGCTGCGTGCCGTGCTGTGCTTGTGCACCATCCCGTGCCTTTCAGAAACTTCTCCGTGCTCCTCTCCCATGCTGTCATTGTGCAGCAGTTGCCCGTTAAGCTCACCCAGGTGATGTCCTGGCCCAGGGGCCGACAGAGCTGCCGAGGTTGGAGCTCAGCCGATGGCTGCTCGGCGCCACCTGCGGCTCAGCCTCAGCGCCACGCAGCCTTTGGCCGTGCAGGAATCACGTCTGCCTTGAGTTGCAGCGTTTCCAAGTCAGCAGTGTACTGAGGCGTCCGCAGCTTTTCCTCTTTGCCCTGTGTGCATCACACGGAGGTGTGGGATGGCACACAGGAGCCGATGGAGCTGATTCCCTGCCCCGGCAGCCCCAGCTGCTGCTGCGTTGCCGTGCTGCGCGTCCTGGCAGCCCTTCAGAGCCGTGCGGCCGCTTGGGTGCAGCATCGGGCGGCGCTCCTCGTGCCCTGCCGGGAGCTGCAAGGCCCGGCCGTGTGCGAGACGCGTTCCTGTGTCACAGCTCAGCTGAGCGCTCGGGTGCAGGCAGTGCTGCAGGCGTGTGCTGCTGGAAAAACCAAGAGAGCCCCGAGGGGTGCCTGAGCGCAGGGGAGGCCGCTCTGACCTCAGCCTTCAGCGATAGCGAAGCTCCTGCGCCCACCCAGAAGTTCCCAGCCCCAACACGCCGGCTTCCTCCTCCTCCTCTGCCCCGGCGGCGGCTGCTGAGGGCGTCAGAGCTGAGCGCTGCGGGGAATGCGGGCGGACCAGAAATGCCGTCGGGGTGCGTGATGGAAGGTTAGGGATGGGACAGCCCGGCTCCGCGGGTGCCTGCAGACCCTGCCCGTGCCCTCCCCGCAGCGTGTGCACGCCCGGAGCTGCTCTGACCCCGCTGTACTGCTGTAACCTGCTGCCGTGTGGTCGCCATTAAACGATGCCGTGGCTGGGTCGCTTTTTTGCTCTTTTTGCCCATTTCTGAGCTCGCCTCGGTTTGTTTCTTTTCTCTCGTGATGCGTCTCTCTCACCCCCGTCCTCCTGTCCCCGCCCATCCCTGCGGTGTCCGGGGGGCTCTGCCCGGCCCCGGGGGCTGTTTGCGTTCCTGCCCTTCGGCCGCGTGTCTGTGGCCGACGCTGCTCTTTCTGTATCTCTTCCAGTCAGGCCTGTGCCCGTCTGCGTTTCTACTTTGGGCCCCGCAGCGCAACGGGCGAGCTGCGGTGCGGCCATGGGGCGGCAGCAGAGCTCCGGGAACGGCGCCCGCTCCGCGAGGCTGTCCGGTTTGGGCTGTGCTTTATTTCTTTCTTTTGCATTTTCGGTCTTTTTATTTGTCCTATTTTCTTTTTCCCTTTCTCTTTTGTTTCTTCTGCTTTTCCCCCTTTCTTCTTTAACACGTCATGCAGTGCCCCCGGTGACCCGCCCCCCCACTGCACTGCTGCAGGGGTGCGGTTGTTCATGGCGTTGGGGGTGTCCTATGTGGGGAGCTGACCTGTGTTGGGGGTGATTCCTATGTCGGGGTGGCCCTGTATCAGGGGCTGACCCTGTTTTGGGGGCTGACTCTCTGACAGTGGCTGTCCATGGGGTCAGCGGTGTCCCAGTGTGGGGGGTGTCCCCAGCTCGGGGAGTGCCCCTGTGTCAGGGGTGCCCTTATGTCGTGGGTGTCCCCTGTCGGGAGTTGCTCCTGTGCCGAGGGTGTCCTTATGTCAGGGGTGTTCGTGGGCTGAGGCGGTGCCCCTATTTCAAGGGACGCCCATGTGATCAGTGATGTCCCTGTGTCGGGACTGTCCGTGGGTCTCGCCCTGACGTCGTACGCCGCTTAACAATGCCGCGTCCGCGAGCGCTCCGCAGGCATTTCTGGCCGTGCCATGTCGTGCCATGTCGTTCTGCGCCACTCCACGCCGTGACACTGCATCCGCACGCAGCCGCCTCGCGACGCCTCCGGCAGCTGCGTGTGGCGGTGTGGCGGTGGGGCGGAGGGGCCGCTCAGCTGCCGCTTTGAAGCGCCGCGCTGCCATCTGCGCGATGCAAATCCCGCGCTGCCCGCGGCGTACGGAGCGCTTCCGGAGCCGCGACGGAGGGGGCGGCGGTGCTGCGGCTGCTCCGCCCTCCGGCACCCGCGGCGGCTCCGGGCCGGGGGGGGCAACGCGGG